GGTAAACAAAAAAATTTTGAAATTATGATAACTGAGGTTGATCCTCTCAAACAAAAGTCTTTTGAGTATTGGTTTGAATTGGTGATGCAATTGGTAAAACTGTATATTGCAATGCGAAGCCAACATTGTTTGCCCATGGTTGTCAAACAAAAGATTCCACTAATAATCGGTGACAATGGACACAACAATCAACCTAACACAGATGATGGCCCAGCATTTAGAGAGAGTAAGAGTAGGTGCACCCTATGTCAGATAGCAGCAGCTGGAAAGGGATATTCTAAAAAGAAACTGTCCATAAAGTGTGTGAAATCACTCTGCCAGTCGTGTGGTAATCCTACATGCCAGGAACATATGGTGCAGAAATGCCAAGTTTGCAAAGAAAAATACTAGTATTTACGGACATCAGAGGTATGCCATAACATTAAACTATTTCTTTTGAATCTAAAAAAACAAAAAATATCCCATCCAAACAATTTTTGTCTCTTCATAGAAAAGAACCAAAATAATTGAATATTTAGGGATTTTTGCCATTTTTCGATAGGTGGTCGTATCGAATTGGGCCAAAACGCACCATTTTGGATGTGAATTCAACTTTTTTGTTATATTTAGGTTAAAGAGAGATAAAACTTCCTAAAAATATAACTAAAAGGATAATTTCAGGTAATCGACAGAATTTCTGGGGATTGCGCCCTATCAGCGCACCCCCGGTCATATTAACATCAAAAAACCCCGGTGCAAATAGGGTTAAACGTAAACACAATGTTTTCAACGTCTAATATCTCATTAAATTGGAACAGTTGATAATATAGAACAACACTGTATCATAACATTAATTTAAAGAAGTATTCCAACCACGTCGTCGTCGTGTTGCCGTCCTACGTGCTTAAGGTCCTTTATGAAAATATAACGCGACGGTAACTGAATGAAAAGTTAAATTATATAGTTACAATTCCTGTTTGCTTGCGCCACAACAAAAACCTTTTAATAAAAGAAACATATGTTTTAACATGCAGTTGATTCAGCCCTCGATTTAGCAACAACCTCAAGCAAGACGGTCCATTGTTCGGGAATAATAACTGCAGCTCTCTGCAATGATTCACGATTACTCAAAATTTAACAATGCAATGAAAAAAATTTTCAGCGGAGGCTCATCTGATGTCTTTTTAAAGAGAAACAAGAAAAAACACCAGTGTGTATTAGTGTTTGTTTTGTTGATACATGCAAGGCCAATGCCTTATTGTCAACTATCAGCTTCGTTCCCAGGCGCTTTTAATAAAATAAATATAGGAACACTACAGGCTTATACACAGATCAGTGGCTAAGCTGAGCGAGCGCGCAAGGAATTTTGGGGAGGGCGCGACGGAGAAATGGAGAGCCTTGCAGAAAATGCAAATATTTATTGCCAGAAATAAGATTTCTGACAAATCGAGTTTTACTCGTGCATTCTTGCGTTTTTGGTAGTTTGTAGCCATATTGTAGCTGTAGCAGAAGAATTTTTACACAATTTAGTTGCATTATATATAATATTTAGTACGTTTTTAGAGTAGACTGTCAGTGAATCTTTCGTGTTGTTCTTAAATATGTTGATAATAAAATTATCTTTATATCTGTCGACCGTCATCATATTCTGATGATAAAATTATCCATACATTTTCTTGTTTCTTCCTCATTCTTTATTCCAAAATTCTCGTTTGTGCATAAAATTTTCCCCATGCATATCTTTCTGTGTATCGCTCTTAAAAATTCGGGCGGAATTAATATTTTAACAAGACGTCTGTTCTGGCGTTAGCTAACTCCGGCGTGCCGCGCACGTGCCAGTCTTCAATATAAAGCTTCTGAACATAAACAATACAGTTCATATTCATTTAGATGCCTTGCAAACCTAAATGTTGTTCGAACGCGAAATCAGAAGCACATCGTACTTTAAAAAGTTTAGAAGTTCAATTGTTCAAAAATGTAAAAAAACCGCATGATACATTCACTTTGTCTTACACTTTGCCTTTGGAATTCGTGCTTATATAACAGTAATGAAATTTTCAATCCTTGGCCACATCTTGTTAAACACAGCCACACGGCCACATCTTGTTAAACGGCGAAATAGCAGCGATATTATTAAAATAGTACCAGAATCTACATGTATTAAATATATTCTTACCCCAATTCAATCTTAACTTAATCGAAAAGCATGAAAACAACGGTTTATGTGTTCCTCTTGGAGGAATTACCATATCATGCGAACGAAATCGAATCGCGCATCGGAAAATTAGCCCAAGCTGTGCACCACAACTCTTAAGAGACAAGACTGGGACGTAGATAAATGCAGTAACATACACATGTCAAGTACTGGTATATTTCGCGCCATTACACACTTGCGACGAGGAAAAATAAAAAAAAACAAAAAAAAAACAAAATTGAGGCGAATTTTCAACCCCGACGCTGACGCCGTAGTAACAAGTTCCTCTTTTGCACTTTTTTATAATAAGCAGTGAAGTGCAGGATGCCGTGAATTCATAAATCGTGAGACGCCATGTTTTATGCATTTTCTGCCAGGCGCTTCCTTCCCGGCGTTCTCCACAAGATTCCTTGCGCGCTCGCTCAGCTTAACCACTGATCTATATAAACGCTATAGTGTTCCTATATATATTTATTTTATTAAAAGCGCCTGTGAACGAGGCTGGTCAGCTATATCATGGCCAGAAAACGCGGACATGCAATAATATTATGCAGATGGCCGTAACTAACAACAAATTACATTGCACATTCTTAAATTTCAAAAAATTGAAGAAAATCTGCTGATTGCATCGATTTGCAATTTGTCCTGGTTGTTTCTTGTTACTTGTGTCATATTAGAGCTCCCGAGGTATTATTTTGCTGGTAAAGGTGATAAATTACCAAAATTTAGGCTTGAAAATGCTGGAGAAATACTGAGGAAAAATTTTGGAATGGTACCTCAAAACATTAAGATCACCAATTTAACTTGCTCTGCAACGAGTAATTATGGCAAATTATAATCGACCTACCAAGTGCTGTTTTGTTAGTGTTTAGTTCTGTGGCACATACTATACAGTTTACTTACTTTACTATAAACTCACGAATCTTTATTTTGACATCGTATGCAAACTTAGGCGGAAGCCGAATGTTAATTATGTCCGAATTTTCTGGGCATGATCATCAGCTTGTAGCCTTCTACGGCTTATTGTGCTCACCAAAATTAAATCTTATGGCAGATATGCCGCCTTTAAACCGTTTTAAGGCAATCTGTGATATCTGCATAATTCCTTCCTCAGCATAGGAGGCAACAATAACTTTTGGTAGGTTTTAGTTACAAGTGACCAGTAATTAGCAGGCGGCCAATATGGCGCAGCAAGAGTTGTTAAACTCTTTGGGCATATTATGTAAATAATGGAACGAGCGAGCGCAAGAGGACCAGCGCAACAAGAGGGACGACTAAGCAATTTTCTTTGCGTAGACTTTGTACGAAAAAATCAGCTTCTGCGGTATTTGAATGCATGGATTCCAAAAACAGAAAAAGAAACGTTTTATTTTACAGTTCAGTGTAATAATTTGCCATACAGTTTACCGTATTGGGGACCACAGCTTGTCTAGCTTTTCGAAAAAATATCAGTTATGCTCCAGTCGTCATTATCTACCAAGCGGCTGAAATAAGCTGCCCTTGTATTATCTCCTTTGGGTATCCATGCACTGTACGTCAATGCTGATGTTGTAAGCCAAACACATATGAAATAATTATTTGGAGCGCAAGTTCAATCAGTCAATCAAAATCATCTCAAAAACTTTATTTACCCACGATAAAATCTACGGTAATAAAAAGGTTATTGGATATTTAAGGACAGGTTACAAAGTACAGGTATACATAGGACAGTTACACAAGACTGAACGATCTAAAATAAACTATTACTGATTTACAAGATTGCCGTGCGTTATTGGCGTCTACTTTATGTAAAGAGAGATCATTTTCAATTTAAACTGGTTAAGGAAGCATGATGCTCGTAAATTTAGGGGTAACTCATTCCACAACACCGCGCCACTATAAGTAAAACTTCGTTTAGCAGATCTAACCTCATGCTTCTTCTTTTGACAATACTTTCGACTGCGTTATTGTCAGTTTACCATTTTATATGCGAAGATGATTTAAAGATAATAAATGATCTAAATGAAAATTCGATCGCGGAAAGCTCTCGCCATACTGCACTCTAAGCCCGCACGACTGAGGACCACATTAATTTTTATGGCAAATTGCGTTTCTATCAAGTTTAATGACCGCGGCGCTACCAATATCGATGGCATCGAAGTATGCGAACTGTTTTCGTAGTCGAGTTAAAAAACAATTGTGTGTTTTAGTTTGTCAAGATTTTATTTCCAAAACGATAATTCGTATTTGGTAAATGAAACAAGCTATCCCAACTATTTGCGCTGGCGACGAACATACTACAATGCCTCGTTATTTTGCGAGCTTGTTAGTAACTACGGCGTAGGTTGATATTAATGAACTTAAGCAAGTGACGTTTTTGACAACACGTAGGTTGACTGGAAGCAAAGTTTTGGTTTTTCACCGATCACAATCCTTGACCCAGTCTTTTGAGGTTACTCATGCCGTCTGTGTTTTCAAAAATGTCACTTGCTTAACGCTAACTCCCTGGCAGATAATTATACAGAAATTTCACGAAATTTCAATAGCGCAGATTGTAGCTACTCTGCATGTGATTGCAAACAATATAACAACAAATTGACGATGTTAAATTGTCTGTGCAATTTATTCAAATTATGTCGCAAATATCCATGTGTTTTATATCCATGCATGCATTTAATGTACAAAGTTTATCATTAATAAATATACTAAAACATACATTGAAATAGCAATATGTAGCTAATGAGGTGTCCAAAAGCTGTTCCTTTAAAGAATGTTAAACAAAACAATGAAATGTGTAATCAAAACTGTGGTTCCACTATGTTGTGCAGAATAATGGTCGCTTCTGAAGCTACTGTACAAGAATGAATCCGAATGCCGGTGTGTTTTTGTTGTTTAGTTCATTGCAAATGCCCATATTACCGCATGTCGTCATTCGTCTTTCGTTATGACACCCAGCTGAGGTACCAAAACCAATGCACGAATCACAAGAAACACAGTCATTTTCATTGTTTGCCACGACACCAATCCGGACGTGAACATAGGTTGCAAAATCTTCTGATTCTGAGGCCACTTTGATATTAAATCCTTCTCTGTTACAATTTTCTTGTAAAGCTGAACCAGTGATGAGAGATTTCCAGGCTTCCTTCCCAGCACTTGTGCTTTTGAAACTACCTTCTCCGATCACGTTGTATAACGAACTTGCGGCGTAGTCCAGCGCTATCCATCTGGTCTGATTATTGACTTTCATTCCGAGGCAAATCTTGCGGAACGGTGTGTTCCAGTAGGAAGCCAACTTTGTTTGTTTTTCCGTCAAGCCTTCGAGACCATCTTGTATTTTGTAGACTGCCTTGTTGGTCCAATATGAAGAGCTATAATTGAAATCGTTCTAAAATTGAAATAATTGAAATAGTTATTTCCTTTTATTGGTACTGATGTTTGCCTTATCTGCATGTACTTTTGACTGGTTGTTGTAAAGGTTATTACCACCTTATTCCCATCAATTTTCATCACTAGGGTCCAGCCTCCTCCTCCACACCCAGGTATCGGATTCATGTGACAATAAACACGATATTCTTCGAGCGAGATATTATTTTTATCTCGTAAACACCATTGGTTTGTGAACTAAATAGTTGAGTGATAAAATATGAATAAGAGTAAGATTTGGAAGAGTACGACTTAGTCAATTCACGCGCAATCTTTGATAAACAAACAGGGTGGTTTAAGCGCATTATATAATAATGTCTATTATTTCTATAGCGTTCTCTCAAGCGCTGGACAAACCTACACTCCTGGAATTGGTAAAACATTCCAATAAAACACGCACACGCCAATTTTTCGCGAATTATGTGAAAATTATTTAATTGCTGAAGTAAGCTCATATTTTTCACAATTGTCGGGCGTATTATTATACAAGCTGTCCAAGAAAAAAGTTACGCTGTAGAAATCATCCTATTCTCATCATTTTAATGCCTGAGCGCTATAGTGCTAAATCCACAAATGCATAGAAAGCATGCAAGCAGTTTCCTAAATTTTAAATCACTCCTATCACAATGAAGGTCTTCTTACAATAAAATCATGCGGGTTCAACTGACAAAGCGTCAGTAACACAACACAGTAGTCCATAACACAGTAGAATTTCAATAAATTCCCTTGTTCGTAAACCCGCAGGTTTAAGAGAGTTGTAAGAACACTGAGGTAATTTCATGAGTCTCACTGTTTTTGCATGCAAACACTCAACAATGTATAAATATAGGCAGGAGAATAATTGTTGATAATTTATATTATCTTAGCCAGCTTGACGATTTAGTCCCTATATGCTAATATTTTGGTTATGCAAATGACTGTTGAAACAATGAACTTTTAAAGAAATGAACATCTATATAATAACCTGAATTTAGAGTGGATCTGTCATTTTACAAGAAGGACTGCTTTTCATTGTCGCGTTTTCATATGCACACGCTTGTAAAAGTCTAAAGTTTATAAATTATAAGTGATACTTGAAAAAATGGCGAATAAATCGAAAGAACTTAGTGTGCCACATATTTCAGTATGCATTTGTTCATCCATTTTTGAAATAACAACAATTTGGAAGCATTTAAAATCTTCTGCATGTAAAATTTTAAAATCATTTACTATCATACTTTTTGTGCATAAAACCAAGGATTGAATAGACGCATGGGGTTGGATTCTTTTGATGATTTGGTGTGTTTTTGCTGGCGTATAAAATATTTATACAACAATTAAGAAGGTTTTAGGCTTTTACGTGAGAGTACATGTATACTTACCAAAAACGCTACAGTGGAAAACAGGCCTAACGCATTTAACCTCATCAAGACTTTTAAACACAAGGCGAGTTAAAAATCTATACCTGTTCCTTTCTAATATTTCTTTACAAGACTCTGCCTTACTGGTCTCTAAGAAATAATAAAAAAATATAATATTAACATTTAAGAAATAAGAAACACTTTCCGTGTTTCTATGCACTTATAGAAATTAGGCACACGCATGGAAGTTTTGGGCGAACGAGAAATAATCCACGTGAATGAAATCAATAAATAAAACTAACTTCTCTTTTAAAGAAACAGTGTTACTATATATAGGCTACTAAATTATTACTGCTATCTTCTACTTTTTTTTCTTCGTCATTTACGTAGTGTATAGTAATATTAAACTAATGGAAAGCCTTACTTGTTGATTGTTTTGTCGGAGAGTTTGAGAAGGAAGAATCCACTGCCTATCAACAACAAGACAAATATTGAACTGTAAATTAAATGAGTCTCACATTCACGATGTGCATGTTTCAAACTGCAGTTTAAATGAGGTTACAAGCAGATTAACTGTCATCGATTTTTTCTTTGTATTAATTTCATTTCAGTTACTAAAATCTTTCATACCAATATATAAAATAAATATTGAAATATATCGGCCGCCTAAAAAAGTGTGACTTTTGTGATTTTTTGTAATATTTATACTGAATTTCGTTGTCTTCTCTTTGTATGAGTAACTTCATTGCATATACATGCAAAATCTTTTGTTCCCCAAATTACCCGATGATACTCGCGTTTCATACTTTGCCTCAACTTATCACTCGATCTAAGCAAAGATAAGGTACTGGAGACATACTTACAAGATGGTTGAATTCAGGGTTTGTTTCCTCATCGACAACGGATGTTTCTTGACTCTTCCTTTTGTTTAGCTCACACAGACCTTTACCAATTCCAGACGTTTTATAATTCACAGACGCACACGATTCATGTCCAACACAATGCAAACCGCATTCCAACTCTGAATCTGCTTGTTTTCGTTCGATGACATGATTCGCCAAGAAGCGTTTCTCATATCTGCTGAAAATGGCTTGCTGAAGTTGCTCATTTGCTGGTTCGCTGCGTGCTTGCGTCATTTGCCAGACAAACATGAACGTCGAAATAATTTTTATCATTGTATACAAATCTGACGAATATCGCTGTATCAAATTGTCACCTCTTATCACAAGCAACTAGTGAGGTTCTGTCAAAGTGAATTGCGTGCAGCGTATGCAGCAGATGTAATTGTGTTGATGGAAACTCTGCAAGCGCTGTGACGCAGCTTGCAAATAAATTAACCTGTTCCTATACTTGGCAAACTGTATACATTGACCAATCAGAATCATGCTTGTCTGCAAACTGCGTCATAATTAAAGGCATGGCTAAAAAATAGCGTGTCCCTAACCGTGTGAAATTTAGCCTGATTAATATTTGGTACGCCGTATTTCGCACGTTTTCGAGACATTTACTGAAAATTTTTCTGTACAGTTTTAAACACTAAGCCTATCGTTCCCTTAAATTTTTGAGAAGAAAACAATTGTAATAATAGTATACATGCATCTAAATCTAATTTCGCGTGTTAAGTCTATACTTCAGCTGTATGACTTAAGACTTTACTTAAGTACTTTTTAAAGAGTATATTATACGATTAGTGGCATAAGAATGTCATGCTGGCAAATGATGGAAACGAATGCTTATGCCATTCACATTTTCGGTTATACGCATATATGCATAGCTAAATTTGAAATCCAGTGTTTGCACGCGTATTTATTCGATCACATCGGTCAGAGAAAGATCGAATCGTATAGGACTATTTATTTTTATCGGGTTAATGGCCCTCACTCAGTTTTCTAGAGGGGTAGATACTAGCTAGGTCTAATGACGATGTCTCGATAATTTTTGCACATGATTGTCTCTCTTATTGCCAAAGGAAATTATAATCCTATCCATTTTGCTTTTGCTAATGTTTTTGACTAGAAACAAACAACTCTCGTAAGTAGATTATGCCATAAAAGACGTCAGCATGACATTTGTTTGCAATAAAATTGTCCTTAAGATTATTTATTAATTAAGAACTATCGTGTTAGCATTTGAATAAAGATCCGTTTCATTTTGATGGATCAATTTCAGGCTGTGAATAAACCTAAAAAAAGTAAACAAAAGGGTCGCACGCATACTCCAAAAGATCACTTTTTAACATGGTCATCATTAATTTTGTTAACATTTACGACACATATTTTATAACACACTTGTGTTTCACCTAGGAGCATTTCGGGCAAGGTTTTTCACAACAAACATTGCGTAACTAAAGCGGCAATCCAATATTGCAAAATTAACACAGGTTTCAGTACACTGAAGAAGAAAATGAAGTCAAAGAGGCAAGTTCCGAAGGAAACGTCTATTTACATGAGGTTCTTATATCAGGAGAAAGCGAAAAGCAGCTTAATTCTTCTTTAATTTTATGCTTTGTAATAAATTCAGAGACATCAATACTTGTCAGGTTCTTCATTTTCGCTGTGATGTTTCCATAACCATAAATGCAGGCTAGTAAGCGGTGAGGTGCGTGGGCTAATGCGGTTCAGTTTTAAGTTTATTACGTAGATCATGCAGCGTCGCTTGTGTCATAGCAACAGCTAATTAACAGTTATTCTTCAAACTCGAGTCGTTTAGTTATTCGACTTGCTATTAATCATGAACGACGAGAGTGAGCAGAATAACTGTTTTATGTATATTATATTTTATAGTATACACAAGCGCTGGATAAAAAACTATTTTGAATAATCGTGATTTAAACAATAGTGAATACACTTTATTTGAAAATCGTTTTAATACAGAAAAACAGAAACAAAAACGTAAACCTATATTTTTAACCTACAGTTGAATACTTTTGTTTCAAAGTTTGTTGCCCTTTCGCTGCACTTTGTCTTTGGTGCATACATTTATCAAGGAAAATGTGAATTTAATCGTCGCCTTAACTCCCCCAAATCTTGCCGCCATTTTGTTTACGTTTCTCTACTGGACAGATATGAACTAATATAGTAGAGAGCCAATCAGATTGCACATTAGCTTATATCCTGCGTCTGTGCATTATAATAAAAGAAGATGATGGCTATCAAAGATTACTCTACGAAATTAGCTCATTCTGCTCCTTTGCAAAAGCCAGGAGTGATGCCGGTTTTATCTTTTATCTTATGCTTCGTAATAAATTCGGAGATATCAATATTTTTTCAGATTCTTGATTTACGCTACACTGTGATATTAATTTCCATGGCCATCAATGCAGGCTGGTAAGCGGGGAGGTGTATGGAGTGATGCGGTACAGTTTTAAGTTTATTACTTAGATCTGTATCGCTTGTATCATAGCAACAGCTAATTAACAATATTATTCTCATAGAGATTATAAATAACACTAGAGGGGTCATCGAAGAGAAATTGGGGAACGTGCTAAAGGGGGGCAAATCCAAGTCAAATTTAGTGAATCGTTTTTTTAATTCTAAATGGTTTTTTCCCTAAAGTATCATCTCAGGATGTCTAAGGTGGTAAACCAGTCAAAAAAACACACTATTTTCTTCAAGAACCGGAAAGAGACCTAAAAAACGAATATCATTTTTTATTACAAATTTTACTTTTTGCTAACGTGGTTGCTAAGGAAAAGCATTGATCTAGTTAATAGGCACTTGGCTTAGCATCCGGGACTTGAATTTGCCCCCCATTAACCTGCTTCCTTTTTCAACTGATGTTTCCGATACC